GTTTTTCATTTTTTTTAAATAAAGTTTGTAGTTAATTTGAAGCCATTTTATAATGTAGGTAGCAAGGAAGAAGGGAAATCACACTGCTCCTGAAGTTCAAAGCAGCAAAGGCACTGGTACATATAAGTTTCTTTTTGAAACAAATTGTAAATTAGTTTTTTCGCAAAAACTAAATTAAATTAGCCTTCAGAATGAATTATATTTCCAACTTTCCATAGTTTATAACTTATATATGTGTTGAAGCAAGATATATATTGGGTTAATTTTGCGTCAAACGATTTAATGGAGGAGGTCCCACATAAGATCAACCTCAAGTCATTTTTGTCTAGTCTAGTGTGTTTATATATCAAATAATTTGATGAATGTCAAATCTGTATTTAGAGAAATATCATAGAATTTCAATTTGATTGCTTTGTAAAATTATCGACATTTTCACTATTATCTGATAACAAGACTTATGAGACTAACATTTTTGTTGCTTTTTCAACAATTTGATTTACAAAAGCATTAGTTGCAATAAATATTTCTGAAAATTCTCTAGTCTACATCCCTTTTTATTCCTCTTTTTTCCAAAAAGTTAAAAATACGAATATGTTGATGATTTGTTATTTTTTTCTTTCTTGGGTGTCTTTCCAAAGATGAGAGAAGTAACCATGAAAAAAGAGAAGCTTCATATTTCAGCTCCTCCATTTACTACGGAGGCCAGCAACATTATTCACCTCCGCGAACCGATGGCTCCTCCACTTCCCCAACTCACCAGCCCGAAGAAACCGATGATCGCAGTGACACAACCCCCTCTGCTTCCAGAGGAAATTGGTGGAAAGGTACTTAATTATACCTTAATTACTTAGTAATATCTATTCCTATAATCAATCTGAATTCATCAATGGATTTCATTTTTGCAGGTTCTTTGTATTACTAAGATCAACCCTAACTAGTCCACTTGATTTCCCCAATACTGCATTCATATCAGTAACTTTGCAGTGTGATCTTCGGGTTTTGTTTATATGCTCCTAATC